GGAGGGGGAGGAGGAGGAGGAGGAGGAGGAGGAGGAGGAGGAGGAGGAGACGGACGAGCAAGGGAAGGAACAGAGGAGGAGGAGGCGCCCCCTGGTCAGGCAAGATCATCGGGCCAGCCGGGAGCACCATCAAGCGGCTGATCCAGGGCACTGGCTGCAAGATCGAGGTCCCGAGGCGCGAGCGCGGCGAAGCAGACGACGGCATCGTGAAGGTCCAGCTGACCGGCGGGCCCGTGCAGAGGAAGCTGGCCCTGGACGCGATCTTGGACGTGGTCACCAGACGGAGGGCTCTTCGTCGTCGTCGTCGTCGTCGTCGTCGTCGTCGCCTTCGTCGTCGTCGTCGTCGTTATTCTCCGAGCGTTCTCCTCGTTTCCTTCATCATCCTCGCCCTCGTCGTCCTGGTTCTCGTCCTCGGTCCTCGTTCTCCTGCCTCTCCGCTCCGTCCTGTCTGTCCAGTTCATCATCTGTGCCCTTTGCCTTATCCCCCTCGTGCTTGTCATCGTCCTGCTTGTCTTCCTCCCTCCTTGTCCTTCATGTCCCGCTCCCTCCTCATGCCCCATCTCCTTCTCTTCCTCCTCCTCCTCCTCCTCCTTCTCCCTCGCCTCCTCCTGCTCCTCCGTCTTGTCATCTGAGGTCAAAGGTGGTGAGGCAGAGGATCATGCTGCCAGGGCCACTGGTGGCCTCGTGCTCCCACACAACTTCGAGCGCGTGGCCGACGAGGAGACTGGCGAGAAGGCCCCGGACTTCGACCGGATATCCTGGCTCGTATGGCGGCTCATTGCCGTAGAGTTCGACCACGGCGTCAAGGTGGAGTCCGGAAGGCGGACGATCCGTGTCTACGCGAAGCCGGGCAAGCCGCCCCTCACCGGGGACGCGGCCGAGAAGGTCCGCTCGGAGGTGGCGGCCATCATCGATCAGGCTAGGTCGATGATTAAGCTCACGGTGGAGACCCAGCTGGACAAGGACCCCGAGAACGCGAACTACGATCAGGCCGTTTTGACCCTCACGGACCAGTACGGCGTGCTTCTGCGGGTGCCTGGGCCCAGCGGAAGTCTGGGGGCAGCCAGGGGAACCTGGCGAGGACGGAGAGAGGGCGGGAAAGTGCCAGCTACATTTTCGGTCTGGACGGCCAAGGTCTCCGAGATAAGTCATTGAGCGAAGGTGCACAAGCTCATGCCCCGCTCTCGCCTCAATGCCGGCCACATTTTTGGTTCGGACGGCCTCGATGCCAGGTGAAGATCCGACTGCACGCAAGAGCGGCCTTCCGCCGGAGTGGCCTCTGGTGCGGGCCCACCGGGCCCCCCCGATCCCTGAATGCGATGCGCCCTCCCCCCCCCCCAGAGCCGCGCACGCACCGAAGACCACTCTTGCCCAGGGTCACTCTTATACGTGCAGCCGACACAACATGCACCAAGGTACACACGACCGTGCGCTCCCCCCCCCCCCCCCCCCCCAGGAAGGCACGCTCTCGCTCGCCGGCCGCCTGCTCCTCGTCCCGCCCCTTCCCCCTCCTGCTTCCAGTGGGGTGCTCTGCCAGGGCGCTGGTTCAAGCCGGGCTGTCCTCCTCGTTGTTGGCCTCGGTCCGGCACGAACGAAATGGGTACAGTGCCGCTTTTAATACATGCTCCGCGTGCGGATCACGTAATTATGAAACATGCAGGGATTTCGTATTAAAAACAACGATGAGTTCACGCATAGATTCATTCGTAAATTAGTCATGCATTAGGAGTCCTATATGTTCTAAAAAACCTATGTATTAAACACTGCCCTGCACGGAAAGAGTGGGTGCAATGCCCAACAGCAGTTCCTCTTCGTTTTGAACAGGGCTCGCTGTCCGCGCCGCCGCGGCCTGTGCCCCTTTGGGACAGAAGGTCGCCCGCCCAACAGCGGCCGCTGTTGTTTGGGCATTGTGCGAATTTGTCTGTACTCCAGATTTCGTAATAAAAGGGAGGGGGTCTGGACCCTCCAAGACAAGCCATCTCAGACCCCCCCCCCGTGGGAGAACCCTCCGAAAACTCGTCCCCAGACCCCCTCAGGCCCTCCAAGATAGCCTGGAAGAGACCCCCCCCGAAATGAGACCCCCCTCCCTTTTATTACGAAATCTGGAGTACCCATTGCGGGCGGCCAGGTGGGTGCCGTCATCGTGTCATCATATAGGGCCACCAGACGTGGATCCGGGACGAACCGCTGCACTCAGGGAAAGGGTCGCGGGCGGAGCGAGCTCGTGGCAGGTCACTCACGGAGGGATGTCTGGGCTCGTGGCGGATCACCCAAGCGGGGAGGGCGTCCTTTGCGCACCCGTGGCAGATCACCCAAAACACCATGGTGTGTCAATGTTCCCCCAGGAGCGGCTGCCAGCCACATCCAGCCTTGCAGTGGGCCCCGCCCTACGACCATGGAGCATCTCTGCACCATCTCTGCATCCAGCCCGCAACGACACCAGCTCATGTGGACACGACCGATGCTCGCGAGAGACGCAGGCGACCGTCGTGTTTGAGCGTGGCTTTTCCTGTTCTGCGTAGTGTTTTTCACGTCGTGTTTTGAATAGCGTGCCGACGCAAGACGCTCCCTGCGACTCGGAGGTTGTGGAGGAGGCGGAGGAGGAGGAGGAGGAGGAGGAGGAGGAGGAGGAGAAGGAGGAGAGCAAGGATATGGAGATGGAGGAGGGGGAGGACTTGCGTATCGGACTTGCGGTTGGGACTCCTGCCCGTAGGCCGCTTTAACACCCCGGCGTGGACGAGCAACCGCCCCACTGGGCCCACGGTTGCCACGCCAGGGGTGCCAGACGTCACCGCGCAGCGGTCCGTCCTCCCAGGGGTGAGTAGGGGGCCACGTGCGAACCTGACAGTCAACGCGCCTAGTAAGGACGCGCGCCTTCATCTAGGGTACCCTTGTGTCCTTGCCTCTGACGCTCGTCCTTGCCATTATCACTGGTCGCCCGCCGCCCAAAAAACCCAACTTCGGCCTCCAAGGGTCTTGCGTCCTTACCTCGCGTCCTTACTATACGTTTTGACTGTACCTCTACCCCCCTCGATTTCTGAGAGGGAGGGTGGGGTTCGCTTCGCTCGGGAGCTCCCGAGCGAAGTGAACCCCGCCCTCCCCCTCAGAAATCGTGGGGGGGTAGGGGTAGGGTTCGCATGTGGCCCCCTAGCGAGGGGACGGGCGGAGAGGAGGGAGGAGGGGAGGTGGGAGGGCCCGCTGGGCCCACCCTAGCTCCTTCGAGGGCTCCTCGCGGGGAGGTGCGGCGACACGCAGAGTTGGGTGAGTGGGGCGGGGTCCACGCCGTGAAACTTGCGATCGCTCGGCGGTCCGTTCCCCGTGCCTGCTTGTTCGGTTGCGTGTTTTTTTTGTGTTTCGCAAGATTGTCAAAGATGCTCCTCGATTACCCTTGCCGAGACAAAGTGCACGCGCCCGAGCGATCCGACTGGGGTCTGGGGGCGATCGACTTCCCAAGACGGCGCCAAGACGGCCCTCCCTCTCCTCCTCCTTCTCCTCCTCCTCTTCTTCCTTCTCCACCCTGCTGCTCCTTCTCCTCCTCCCCCTCCCCCTCCTCCTCCTCCTCCTCCTCCTCCTCCTCTTCCTCCTCCTCCTCCTCCTCCTCCTCCTCCTCTTCCTCCTCCTCCTCCTCCTCGCATCGCTCGGGCGCGTGCGCCTCTTCTCGGCGAGGACCATCGAGGAGCCTTCTGGAGCCTTCTGCGCGAGCGTGCGCGCACGAAGCCGACGCGTGCACGCGACAGGGGCGCCCGAGCGATGGCCAGTCGTGGGGCCCCCGCCGAGGTGCCGCGGCCCGAGGGCGGCTGCTGCCCCATCGAGGTGCTCGGCCCCGAGGAGCCGGCGCGGGACGCCGCGGAGCTCCTCGAGGCACGCGGCCGCGGCCCTTCGCGCGCGGGCTTCCCGCCGGGGAAGCCGCGGCGCCCTCGACGCGGCCGGCCAGGGCGAGATCTGGCTACCCATCGGCCGTGGAAAGTGAGACTTTTTGGAGCCCCAAGTTCCCAATCTGCTTGAGGCGCCTTGCTACTTCGAGGAGAGAGTGGTCTCCTTCTTCCCTCCTCGTCCAGGGGGCGGGGTGAGATCCGGTCTGCTTCCAGCGCCTTCTCCTGCTTCATGCCTCGACCCACTTCTTCCGACCGACGGATATGGTGGGGGCGTTCGTTAAGGAACCTGCCCACAGGTGAGCGACGCAACAACCCAACGGGGCCTTCTGCGCCGACATTCGCGCGTAAGCTGCCTGCGTCAGGTCGCGCGCATGCGCTTTCGTCTCCAGTATGACGTGCCGCGCTGGTGGCCCGCGTAAGCCGCGGCGTAAGTTCGTTGTGCCATCTCGTATAGGACTCGCTTCTGTTCGTCGCTCATCCGGTGGGGGCGTTCGCTCTGGAATGTGCCCAGGAGGCTGCAGACTCTGGAGGATTCCTCATCTGATGAGGGTGGCGGCCGATACATTATGCTTCCACCGGCTTGCGGACTCAGGATTCCTCGTCTAAGGGCATCGGCCACACGCAGAGGGGGGTCGGGGGAGGGGGGAAGGCTTCTGAGAAGCACCCCTCCTTGTTAGAAGGCGCGGGCTTTGTCTACAGATGTAGGACCAGCGCCTTCCAAGAAGCAGGCTCCCTTCTAAGAAGCCTTACCCACTCCCCCGACCCCTGAGCGCCGCCAAGAATAGGCTTTCGCCGGCTCGCGGTCCTTGGACTCCTTATCACAGGATAACTTGTTCAATGCCCCCACCGTGCACATGGCGTGCTCCAGAAAGTCAGAGGAGGGAGAGGTGCCGATGCCGCTGCCCGTGACTCGGTTTTACCTTCTTGGGGCCTTCTGGGGTGTGCATCGTGGCCACCGCTGCATTCGCCTCGAGCTTCTGGTCAGAAGGCACCCTGGGAGAGATCCTGAGAGTAGCAGTATCGGTCCCGTGTTTCGGCTGAAACGTAAGAGTGACCTTTCGCCGGAGTGACCCTTGGTGCCGGCACACTGGGGTTCCCCGATCGTCGAACGCGATGCGATAGTAGCGTCTTGCGCGCTTTGGTTTGCCCCCCCCCCCCCCCGCACACCCCTCCGCGGCCCCCCCAAAGCCGCGCACCACAGGCCACTCTTGCCCAGGGTCTCTCTTGCGTGTGGCCGACTTGTTGTTCCCTCAGAAAGGGCCTCGCCTGCAGACAGCCGTAAGACTCGAGTTCGCCAGAACTCGGCTTCGCCGACGCTTTTTGACTGCCAGTCGGGAATGTTGGCTTTGCAGTGTTTGCGGGATGTTTGCAGTGGGAGTTCGCGTCAGATTTCAGATTCCTCTCGCTTCGCGGGGTGCACGTCCGGAGCACGTGCAGTCCAGCCGTTGTGGGGCTTTTTGGAAGCCTCCTGGGGGGTTCTTGGAAGCTTCTTGGAGGCTTCCTGTGGCGTTTTGGGGGTCTCCTGGGGGCCTCTTGGCGGCCTCTTGGGGGCGTCTTGGGCCGTCTTGGGCCGTCTTGGGGCGCTTTGGCGCCGTTTGGCCCCTTCGGGGGCCTTCTTGGGAGCCTCTCGCGGCCGCCTTCGGGCCCTCTTGGAATCCTCATGGGCCGTCTTGGGGGCCTCTTGGACCGTCTTGGGGGCCTCTTTGGGCTGACTTGGGGCTCCCTGGGGTTGTCTTGGGGCCACCTTGGGTGCTTCTTGGGTTGTCTTGGGACCATTTTGGAGGCTGCTTGGGCCGTCATGGGCTTCTGAAGAGCCGACAACACCGAGAACGCTGAAATCTTTGAAAAACTAACAAAAAATCATGTTTTTGGCATCTGGAGGCCCTCTGGTGGGCTTTCTTCGGGCTCTCTTGGGCCATCTTGGGGGCGTTTTGGGCCCTCTTGGGGCCATCTTGGGCCGTCTTGCGGCCGTCTTGTCCCGTCTTGAGACCATCTTGAGCCGTCTTCACGCCGTCTTGGACCCTCAAGAGGCCCAAGGAGCCGAAATCATCGATTTTCCACAGGTTGTTATAGGTTTTGAGGCCCAGAAGGGGGCCACCACTTTTGGTGCGCCCGGAGGTCTGGCGAGGGGCGCACGGGAGCGGCGCCGAGGGCGCCGCCCAATGAGTGGGTCGTCGTCGTTGCCGTCGCCGTCGCCGTCGCCGTCGCCGTCGCCGTCGCCGTCGCCGTCGCCGTCGCCGTCGTCGTCGTCGTCGTCGTCGTCGTCGTCGTCGTCGGCGTCGGCGTCGGCGTCGGCGTCGGCGTCGGCGTCGGCGTCGCCGTCGCCGTCGGCGTCGCCGTCGCCGTCGCCGTCGGCGTCGGCATCGTCGGCATCGTCGGCATCGTCGGCGTCGTCGTCGTGGGCGCTGGCGGTCAAACCTTTCGCGGGCGTCTGAACCTGATGCTCGTGCTCTTTTGGGGCCGTCGCCGAGGTTCGCGCCGAGGTTCGAGCCTCGAGGGTCGAGGTTCGTGGCCTTCTCTCCGTCGAGGGCTTCCCCGTCGCCACGGCTGGACGCAGCTCGAAAAACTGACGACGACGACGCAGAGAACGACGGTTTCCCGCTGCCCGAGCCCTGTCGCGTTGCGCAAAGTCGCCACCAGCAGCGGAGCGCTGAGCCTGCCCGACGGCACACAGGGCAAACATGTTTGTCCCATTCAGGCGCAGAGACTGCGAGGTCGCTGATGCCGCGTGGATCTCCTGAAAAACAGATGTTGGCTTGAATGGCATGCCGTCTCCTGTAGTCCTCTGCGGTGGCGTTTCCTGTCGTCTTCTGCGGTGGTCTGCCGCGCCGTCCTGCAATCGTCGAGGCATCCATATGGAAACGTCCTGGAGTGGTGAGTTGGGAGCTCCTTGGGTCCCTTTCAGGGACTTCTGCCGGCTTTTGGAAGGCTTCTCGGGCGCATTTGAGAACCCCTGAAAGCCTCTTGGGTTTTTTTTTGGGGGCGTCTTGGGCCGTTTTGGGGCGCTATTTCGGAATCTTTTGGGGGGGTCATGGAGGCTTCTTCGGGGCTTCCCGGGTCTTTCGGGGGGCCTCTTGGGGGCGTCTTGGGCCGTCTGCGGACGCTTGGAGCCGTTTGGCCCCTTCGGGGGACTTCTTGGGGGCCGCTCGCGGCCGCCTTGGGGCCCTCTTGGGGTCGTCTTGGGCCATCTTGGAGTGTTCTTGGGCCGTCTTGGAGGCCTCTTGGATCGTCTTGGGGGCCTTTGGGCCGTCTTGGGGCCCCCTTGGGTGCTGCTTGGGCTGTCTTGGGGCCATCTTGGAGGCTGCTAGGGCCGCCATGGGCCTCTGAGAGCCGGGAAAAGCGAGAACGCGAAATTCCTTGAAAAATTTAAGGAAAATAAATGTTTTTGGCCTCTGGCGGCGTTCTGGCGGGCGCTCTGAGGGCCCTCTTGGGCAATCTTGGGGGCTTTGTGGGCCCTGTTGGGGCCATCTTGGGCCGTCTCGGGGCCGTCTTGTCCCGTCTTGACACCATCTTGAACCGTCTTCACGCCCTCTTGGACCCCCAAAAGGCTCAAGGTGCCCAAATCATCGGTTCTCCATAGGTTTTTCTAGATTTTGAGGCCCAGAAGGGGCCCTCCTCCTGAGGGTCGATGGAAGTGGCGCGACTCCAGGGGGGGGGTAGGGGGGGACACATAATAATGTAACATGATACAACATGTAGGAATTATGCAAGCATTGGACACATTGGATCCATTGCATTACAGCATCCGCGGACCTGCCTCCGGCAACACGTCACTTCCGGACGTGGATTCTTTAGGCTTGCGCCACATCCGCCGACCCCTTGATTCGTTCGCCAGAGTCGCGGGAGGGCTCTGGGGTGAGGTATCCTTCCGACGGTTGCCGAGGCATACAGGGGTGCCACATACAGAGCGACTCATACATACATCCAGGGGCGATTGGAGATATCAACGTGTCTGTGTGCGTAAGGTATATGTGGAGATGCATGTGTGTGCATGTGTGCATATTCACATGTTTACATACACGAAGCACCCCACAATTGCGGATAAGAGTGAGGGGGCGGGTGCAGGCGACGCGGGCGTCGAGCCGGCGGACCTCGTGGCCCTCACCTTCCCTCTCGATGGCGCCCTCCTCCTCCTCCTCCTGCTCCTCCTCCTCCTCCTCCTCCTCTTCCTCGTCCGCGTCCTCGTCCTCATTGTCGTCGTCATCGTCGTCCGCCTCCTCCGAATTGCAGCAGGCAGCTGGATTGTCAATGAACGTGTTCAGACACAGCCCCGCCGCAGGCGCCGATGTGCTGTTGTACAGTCTGCCGTGGGATCGATTCCCCCTTCACCAGCAGAGAGGCGATCCTCCCCGCGGTTGAGCAGGCCCACGTGTCCACCCTAATGGATCGAGCCGTCCCTTAGTTGCCTCGATACGTGCGTTTTGAAACGCAACACGTCCCGTGTTCAAGACGTCCGTGTCAATACGTTGCGTGTTGGCTCCACGTATTGGACCACGTTCTGGCGAAAGTATCGCGTCGGACCTACGTTTTCAGTCTACGTGTTGAGTTCCGTATCGATCCGGTACGTGCTGCGCGTTGCGTATCGGGGCAGCTGAGGTCCACCTTAATGGATCGAGCCGTCCCGCTCTTGCGGCCCCATCATAGCGCTCCTGGGGCCCTGTCGACATGGTTGGGGGGCCAGCGTATAACGCGATTCTGGGGGCTGACAGCTCAGCCTCTGCGCAAGCGGTGGGACATGCAACATTACTTATCACCTGTACGGCACATGGCGATGTGGGTCACCGAGGTGCCCCCTGCCAAACCTAAGATGCCGTGCAGAGGTGGCCTGGGGCTACATTTGTCCACATATACCATCCACCTATACCCTTCTTGCGCCCTGCCGCACGCTCACGCACGCGCATTCAGCGCTGCGTAGTCTGAGTGCCCCCCACTCATTTCCTTGGCGTCCTCTCTCCACCGCCTCCTCCAAGCCGGCAGGGGGTGAGGAAAACAAAGACTCTCAAACCTAACCGCCTCCGGCGTGTGCAGATACGCTCCATCTCTTTTGGTGCAAGTTGAGAAAGGATAAACGTATACCACAACGGAGGTGGCTGGCTAGCGCGTGCCTGCGACCGTCCTTGTACCCTGGGGTACCGTTCCAAGGTTGGGTGAGCCCTTGTGCCCCATCCGCATTTGAAGGGTTCTGCTTCCTCCTCCTCCTCCTCCTCCCCCTTCTCCTCCACTTCTGCCCCTTCTCATCCCTGCTCCCCTTCTCTCCCTTCTCCTTCACTTCTGCCCCCCTCTCCCTTCTCTCCCTTCTCCTTTCTCCCTTCTCCCTTCTCATCCCTGGTCCCCTTCTGTCACTTCTCTCCCTTCTCCTCCACTTCTGCCCCCCTGCTGGCGTGGTTGTCCCGGGCCTTCCTTGCCCTCGGGGTGGCCAGACGTCCACCGGCCGAGGCCAAGTACGCCAAGGGGAAGGCCACTGCCTGCGTCCTGCAGGTCCCCGATCAGGTCCAGTCGCTGGACGACGCGGTGAAGGAGGACTTCGCCGCCGACCTGCAGGCTCCAGACGAGCATGGTTGGAGGGAGGTGGAGGAGGAGGGATGATGATGATGGTGATGATGATCAGGAGGATGGTGATGATGATAAGGAGGATGATGATGGTGATGATGATGATGAGGAGGATGGTGATGGTCATGAGGATGGTGGTGGTTATGATGAGTGATGCGGATTTAATGACGACGCTGATGATGTTGATGACGATGATGACGATGATGAAGACGATGATGTCGATGAATCGAATGGTTTTGGTGATGCGGCGGTGATGATGAGGAGGTGGAGAGGGAGGATAATGAGGACGATGGTGATGGTGATGGTGGTGGTGGTGGTGATGATGATTTTGACGATGGCGATGATGATGGTGGTAATGATGAAGCTGATAATGAGGATGATGATGCTAATGACGATGATGCTGATGATGATGGTGATGGTGATGTGGGGCGCATGATGGTTACACGGGTGGGAATGAGGATGATGACGACGATGTTGACGATTATTATGATGTTGAAGATGGTGATGCTGATGACGACGATGATGATGGTGCTGCTGATGATGCTGCTGATCCTGATGATGCTGATGATGCTGGTGGTGATGATGATGATGATGGTGGTGATGTTAATGGTGATAGGTTTATGTGAGGCTGTTGATAATTAGGGTGGTAACGATACCGCTGCTGCTGATGATGTTTGATGATGCGGATGTTGATGCAGCATATGATGACGATCAAGGTGTTGTTGGTGCTGGTGATGGTGGTTATGATGATGATGACGAGGATGTGGATAGTGATGAGGAGGTGGATGAGGAGGACGAGGAGGATCAGTGTACATCCAAGACGCATCAACATGTTTCAATGCACTCTCCTCCAAGCCCCTTCTTCAGAGGTCCCGTACAAGAAATGTTTTTTCTTGCTTGAAGTGCCCCGTTGGAAGACAAACGTCGTTTGTGAATCCTCAATCGTGCCAAACACCGCTCCTTAGACTTCAAGGCCGCGAATCAACTTTACTGTTGCGTCCTGGCGATCCTGCACCGTGCCAGGGATCCGTTCCTGCGACGTCAGCACCACGAATCAACGTGCCTGTCACGCCCTGGCAGTCCTAAATCGTGCCGTAACAACATTCCTGGGAGGCCAACCATAAGAACCAATTAAACTTCTGAGAACTATTGAAACGAGTATGTGCGGCGCGAAGGCGGCAGCGGCATTTTGACAAAGAAACTTCCTCCATCCGTGGGGTCCTTGCAAGCAGTTGAGACGAATGTGTGCGGCGCTGAGGCGAGCGCAGCATTCTGAGAACCATCCCGCACTCCATCCGTGAAGCTTCTGCGAACTCTTAAGACGAATGTGCTTGGCGTTAGGGTGTGAGCCACATTTCGAAAAAGAGCTGCCGTCCATTAGGGAAACGTGCGGGGACGTTTCACACGAATGCGCGCGGCGCTGAGGCGAGAACCGCTCCTCGAGAACGACCCGTCTTCCATCCGTGAAGCTCCCGCAAGCTGTGCAGAGGAGTGTGCGCGGCCCGGAGGCGAGAGCCACGTGTTGAGACGGAGCCGCCCTCAGCATCGCGTAGCTCCTGCACGCTCTTAGAATGACTGTGCGAGACGCGCTGGGGCGAGAGCCGCTTTTTGAGAAGGAACCGCCCGCCCTCCCTCCGCGAAGGTCTCTGAGCTGTTTTGAGCATGTCTGCGCGGCGCCTGGGCGAACGCAGCATTCTCAGAAGCCGCCCGGCCTCCCTCCGTGAGACCTCTGCGAGCGGTAAGAACTAATGCGCGCGGCGCTGAGGCGAGGACCGCCCGCATGTTCGACAACCACCCGCCCTCCATCTGTGAAACCGTTGCAAATCTCAAGCTTCAGGATCAGAAGTGGTGAGGAAGTCTCAGGCGAAACGCCCTGCCCGCCCCACCTACACGTCTCGGGCTGCGACCAGGAGGAGTTGTTTATAAGGGAAAAGAAATGGATGAAGAAAGGTTTGAAAGCTTTCAAAAAAAAGAGGATTCTGGGGACGGTGAGGAGGAGGAGGAGGAAGAGGAGGAGGACCAGGAGGAGGAGGAGGAGGAGGAAAATGAGACAGAAGAGGGGAGTCCGACCTGCAGGCCTTAGAGGAGGAGCAGAGGGTCAAGATCCGGTTGGCCACCAGCTGCATCTGGCTGTCCGGAAACAGCCCCGACACCGTGGAGGCGGCGAGGCAGACGATCGTGGAGACCCGGGGTGGGTTGTGGGCAGATTCTGGGTGAGGGCTTGCATTTCTTTCGAAGCTTCGGCGGGCCGAGCTTCTGTGCGAGAGGTGGATGAGGAGGAGGAGGAGGTGGATGAGGAGGAGGAGGAGGAGAAGGAGGAGGAGGAGGAGGAGGAGGAGGCGGAGGAGGAGGAGGAGGAGCAAGGGCAGGAGCAGGAGCAGGAGAAGAGGAAGATGTGCGGAGGAGGTGGGGAAGGAGAACCTGCCAGGCTTCCCCACGCAGCTCGCCAGCCGAGAGAGCCCGATCCCTTGAGATAGTCTTTTTGTCCCCGTGCTGGATTGCACGCCGCCAGCCATGGCCAAACCAATCCGATCCCCCCTTTGTGCGCTCGTCGTGGTTGCCTTCTCTTCTTGCAAGTCGTTGGCCCCCTTCCCTCCCCTCGTCGTCGCTCGTTCGCTTTTTCGATCCTCGTGGGCCGCCCCTCCATCCCTCCTGGCGGATCGTACCCCGAATCTGCAGCATGTTTGACTCGCCGAGTGAGAGCGGCACGTCAAGCTGATGAAGACTTGCTCGGCCGCAGTCTTTCGCACGGCTTGGGTGTGGGGTCTTCCTCGCCCCGAGGAGATGCTGCAGTTCTACCTCCCTGAGGGCTTCCTGGTCATGAAGGGCCTGAAGAAGTCGGCGGTGGACAAGATCCGTGAAGACGAGGAGCTCCGATCCCTCAGGGTGAAGCCCGACTGCGCGTTCTCGCTCCATCCCGCCGAGGGTATCGCGTGGATCTGTGGGGCCTCGCTGCGCGAGAAGGCCAGAGCGGGGGAATCGAAAGAGAGGCTGGAGCCCATAGGGATTGGAAAGGCATGGGGGGAGGGGCCTCGAGATGGGAGGGGGGGGGGGAGGGGAGAGTGGAGGAGGAGGAGGAGGAGGAGGAGGAGGAGGAGGAGGAGGTGGAGGAGGAGGAGGAGGAGGAGGAGGAGGAGGAGGAGGAGGAGAGCGGCAGGGAGGGGGGATCGTCGGGAGGGGACGGCGGTTCAACAGCGCATCCTCCGGGGGGGGGGGGTCCCTCCGCACCTCTGAGCGAGCACCGCCTCCGACGGGCGGCGTGCGCGAGCGACCGCCTGTCGCTTGCCGGAGCGCTCGGCGGGGCGCCCGCTGGACTGCGGGGCGGACCTTACTGGGCCCTGGAAACGACAGGGCCGTTTTTTGTTACCGGTTCCGTTTTGCCGTTGTTTGGCCGGTTCCGACGCCGTTGTTTTGCAGGTTCCGTCGCCGTTCTTTTACGGGTTCCCGCTCCGGTTCCAGTCCTGGCGCCGTTTTTGTTGCCGTTTCCGGTCGCCGTTTTTTTGCCGCTTCGATTTTCAAGGGGCATTTGTTCGGAAACGGTGACAAAACGGCCCTGCCGTTTCCGGGGCCCACTAAGGGGCGGACGAGGCAAAGCTCGCCCGCCTCCCAGCGACGCAAGGAGCTCCGCCTCTGTGCGCAGCGCCCTCCCAGGGGCCCTGGAAGGGCCTGGGCTCCGCCCTTGCGCGAGGAAGCGAGACTCCCAGGCATCAGTCGTTGTTTTTTTCAACCAGGGCCCCCTGGAAGTCCGGACCCTTTCCCCAGCACCGGTGTTTCATCCCGATTCGTTTTTTTGACGGTTCCGGGGCCCGTTGAGGGCCCCCGGAGGCCGACAATTGCCAAACATGTTCCGTCGTTTTTTTTTTGTTTTTGTTTTCTTCTTTTCTTCCCACGACGCGAGCAGGCCTGGGTTGACGTGTGCCTCCTGGATCCCCACGGGCACTTCGAGCGCTCCAAGGCGCACCACGGCGCTCCGGGCGTTTCGGACACTCCCAGTCGCTCCAATGGAAGCTCCCTGCAAAACGACGCTCCCAGGCGTCGTTGAGCACTGCCACACGCGCTCTGGGTCGCTGCCAGGAGCCCCGATGTATTCCCTGGCGCACGTTCCCAAACATCCTCCTGCCGGCCTCAGAGCTCCCGACCCCTTCCCTCCCAGGGACAGTTTTTTTTTGTCCTGGATCAGGTTTTGATGGCTGTGGGGCCGAAATCGTGGAAGACCCAGCGACTGAAAAATTCAGACCGTCGGAGGTTTGGGTTTGGCAAGCCCAAGCGGCTCCCAAGCTTCTGGGCGTTGCCGGGCACTTTCCAGCGAGGCCCGGGTTGCACCAGAGCGCTGCAACCATCTGTCACCGCCCACCAAGCCACCCCAACCCAACTCGGAGGTCCCGATTTGCCCTCCATTTCCATTGGGGGGTGGGGTCGGGGACCGTTGAAACATATATATATATATACACAAGACTGCAGTGGCGCTTCGCGCCATGCACCTTGGTCCTTGAAGTTTCGTATGCAGGCGGAATAGCAGGAAGGTCAAGCCGACAATTTAGCGATACCTTCTGGTTGCCTTTTCTGGCATCGCCGCTATAATAATGTTATTAGTTATCCTTCCTCCATGCTTCTTTTTCCTGATTTTCGCCATGCCCTGCGCATTCTCCCCATCCTCCTCAGCTCTTTTTGCGGAGGCTCCTCCTTGGAGAGCCTCTAGGGGCCTCACAAAAGTTGTTTCAGGCTTTCTTAAGGCCTTCTGGGAACCTCCTGGGCGTATTCTGGGGGCCTCCGGGGGCTTCCTCGGGCCACCCTGCCTCCAACCGCGGTCTCCCTGAACGACCGAATCACGATTTGGAATTCCTCGGAGGGTGTCTTTGGGCCATCTTGGGCCGCCATGGGGCTCTCTGAGGGCCATCTTGGACCCGTGTTGTGCCGTTTTGGGGCTCTCTTGGACTGCCTGGAAGCCCTTTCGGATGGTTGTGGGGCGATTTTGGAGCCTCCCAGGCGGCTTCGGACGCCACAAGACCGCCGTCTTGGAGGGTCGGGAAGCCGAAAAGAGGAGAACCCAACAGAAAATCAATGATTTTTGTCTCGGGGGGCCCTCTTGGGAGTGCTCTTGGAGGCCTCTTTGGGGCCCTCCTGGAGGCCTCTTGGGCCATCTTGAGATCACGTCGGTCACTCTTGGAGCGCTCTTGTGCTGTCTTGGGGGTCTCTGGGACGTCTCCGATGACCCCCCTGATCGCCCTAGGTGTGCTGGGAAGGCTTGGCAAAACGCCATGTGACGCACGGTGGCCGCTTCGAGGCCCGTCTGGAGGGTCCCAAAGTCCCAGATCCCGGGAGTCCGTTTTTTTTTTGGGGGGGGGTGATGGGTTTCCCCCCCGCCCGGGCTTACAAAATATAGGAAGAGGAATAGGTGTATGTATGTATGTGTATGTGTATGTGTATATGTATGTATGTATGTATGCATGCATGCATGCATGCACGTACGTACGTACGTACGTACGTATGTATGTATGTATGTATGTATGTATGTATGTATGTGTGTGTATGTATGTATGTATGTGTGTATGTATGTATGTATGTATGTACGTACGTACGGACGGACGGACGGACGTACATACGTATGTATGCTTGTATGTAAATATGTATGTATGTATACATGTATGTATGTATGTACGTATGTATGGTTGTAGGAACGTATGTATGTATGTAGGTGTGTATGTATGTAGGTGTGTGTATATGTATGTATGTATGTATGTATGTATGTATGTATGTATGTATGTATGTATGTATGTATGTATGTATGTATGTATGTATGTATATATGCATGCATGTATGTATGTATGCATACATGTATGTATGCATGTATGCATATGTGGTTGTATGTCATGTCATGTCATGTCATGTCATGTCACGCCATGCCATGTAATGTCATGTAATGTAATGTAATGTATTGTAATGTAATGTAATGTAATGTATGCTTGCATGTATGTATGCATGTATGTATGTGCGTTTGTATGTATATATGTACGTATATACGTACGTATGTATGCATGTATGTGTGTATGTATGTATGTATGTATGTATGTATGCATGCACGTATGTATGTATGTATGCATGCATGCATGCATGCATGCATGCATGTCTGTAATTATGCATGTATGTATGTAGGTAGGTATGTACGTATGTATGTATGCATGCATGCATGCATGCATGCATGTATGCATGTATGCATGTATGTATGTATGTATGCATGCCTGTATGTATGCATGTGTATATATACATATCTATACCCGCACCCCCCCCCCCCCACCCGAGGTTCGGGCCTTCGGGTTGGGTTGGGGTGGTCTGGTAGGCAGTCAATGTGTGTGTGTGTGTTGATTGGGGGCTGGAGCCGCCCTCTCGAGCGTCCCCTGCCATCAACGCGGAAGTCGCGAAGCGGGGCCTCGCTTGATACGGCATTGCTGTCAGAGCGATGCTCCCGCCCTGAGCGCTTCGAGAGGGCGCCGCCAGACCAGCCCCCTCGAGCTCCCCCTCCTGTCCAAGGTCCCTCCCCCGGGACGCGGCCCTCGTGCCTCATGCCATTGCGATGGCCGCCCGAGCTGCTCTCCGCGACCTGCGGCTCACGCGGCCCGAGGGTGGGGTCGAGGCGCAGCGTGGGGATGACGACGGCGCTGCGCCAGGCTCCCCCTGCCGCCCACGTGGGCGCCGTGCAGCGCGCGGCCCACCGAGCCGCGGGAGCCAGGCCCCACCGCAGGTGTGACGCAGCAGCGCCGCCGCGCGGGGCGGCACGCGCTGCCTCGAGAGCGACCTCGCTGCGCCCTGCGGTGGCGCCGCGCGCGCGGCAAGGCGCCACCGGTCGCGGCGCGAGACGCCCCCGGGCCGCGGGGCACGGCCTCGCGCGCAAGAGGGCCACTCGTGCCGTGTGGCGCTCCCTCGTGGGGGGCCCTGACCTTCCAGAGAGGTATTTTTTTAGCACGGGAGGCCTAAAAACCCAAACAACGCAACGAGACAGCCTAAAATCAAGACATAGAATAGCTCTGGGATAGGTTTTTAAGTCGCGTGCTATTTTTTAGCCCTCCTGGAAGGTCAAGGGGGGGGGGCGCGGGGGGCTGGCTGCTGCTGGGGCCCCGACGGGCGCGCGCCGTGGCACGGGCCGCGGCGGGTAGCTCTTATGGCAGAGCTCGGCCTCCCGAGGGCCCCCGCCGGTCGTCAGGCAGCGGCCCGGGAGGAGCAGCGAGGCCCTGCGGGGGCCCGGCCTGCCGGGAACCCTGTCTTACTGCACGAACGAGATGGGCACGGAAAGAATGGGTACAATGCTCAACAGCAGTTCTTGTTCACTTTGAACAGGACTCGCTGTCCGCGCCGCCGCGGCCTGTGTCCATTCGAGACAGAAGGCCGCCTGCCCAACGCGGCCGCTGTTGGTTTGGGACAACCTCTTGCTGTTGGGCATCGTACCCATGTTTTCCGTACCCATTTCGGGCGTCCAAAGTCTTGTGAACAGACCGAGACGTCGGATCTTTGGGGAGGTTCGGATGCCACTCCTGGGAGGTCAAAGTCTGACTTTGCCCTGGTCCGATCTCTGGCTCAGTCCGGCTCGATCCCGCTCGATCCGGCCGGCTCAATCCCGCTGGATCCGGCTTCTAATCCTTCCGACGAAGACCTCCCAGCAGTTGCCTCCTAAGGGAGGCGCCTCCCCCCCCCCTGTGCGGATCCCGGCCAGGTGTTGGGGGAGGCGGTGGGCCGGGACCCAGGCAGCGCGAGCGCGCGCTGGACCCTGCCGCCAGGGGCAGGACCCCGTTCTCCCTCCCGACCCTTCGCGTTCCCCCCTCTCTTGCCTCCCCGCTCCCCCCTCGTTCTCCTCCTCCTCCTCCTCCTTCTCCCTCTCCTCCTCCTCCTCCTCCTGCTCCTCCTCCTCCTCCTCCTCCTCCTCCTCCTCCGCCTCCTCCTCCTCCTCCTCCTCCTCGTCGCCCCCCCTATTTCCTTTCTTGCTCCGCCCCCCCTTACTTTCCCAGCCCCCGTTCCCCCTTCCCCTCCCCCTTTCCATCCTCTCCCTTTGTCCCCCCTACTCCCTCTCCGCGGGCCCACTCCCATTGTCTTCCCCTCTGGGTACTATCCCCCCCCCTTCACCCCACGGCTTCCCGGGAGGTGCAGGCGAGGATCGAGGCGATCCTCGCCAAGTGGGCGCTGGAGCACTTTGAGCTCGACCTCGGTGATTTCGGCGAGGCCATGTGGCTGCTGGGCCCCAGGCCCACCCGTCCTGGTGTTGCGTTTTGCTGTTTATTGTTCTCACTGCTTACCCCCTGGTGACCGTGACCGTCCTGTGTTTTTCAATTAAAGTGTTCTGTCAGGGAAGGTCTGTGGTAACCAATCTGTGTCCCCTGCCCCCATATTTCAACAACCACAACTACACAAACCATTGTCCCCGAATGATTTATGATTTTGTATGCAGCGTGCATCCGTCCTGGCATCCCCGACTCACGGGGGATTGTCTTGAGCCCGGATGACACATCGCCTTCGCAATCGCCCTGCCCACGCCTTGCTTCTAGGTGGCACCACGCCCGGGTGGCTTAGAACCGGTGGGAGAGACCACGCAACATCTGGGAGAGCCCCCCGAACCCCTTGGAGAGCCTTCGGACCTCCATGGGAAGCCCCAGAGAAGCTTCAGAACACCTGTGGGAACCTGAAGGCCCCTTGGAGACGCTTCAAAGCTGAGCTGGAGGGTTTCGGGGCCTCTTGAAAAAGGCGTGAGGGCATTTTTGAGAAAGGTCTGGATCGGAGGAGCTTCTGGGCATCGGGAGATGAGGGACAAGAGGAGGAGCATGATGATGCTGCTGCTGATGATGCTGATGATGATGATGATGATGATGCTGCTGATGATGATGATTATGATGATGATGATGGTCATGCTGCTGCTGATGATGATGATGATGATGTTGACGACGATGCTGATGATGATGATGATGATGATGATGATGATGATGATGATGATGATGATGATGATGATGATGATGATGATGATGATGATGATGATAATGGTGATGGTGACACTGATGGTGATGGTGATGGTGATGGTGATGGTGATGGTGATGGTGAGGAGGAGGAGGAGGAGGAGGAGGAGGAGGAGGAGAAGGAAGAGTAGGGAGGAGGAGGAGAGGAGGAGGAGGAGGAGGAGGAGGAGGGAGGCGGGAAGACAAGGTGGTTGGAAGAGGAGGAGGAAGAGGCGGATGAGGAGGAGGAGGAGGAGGAGGACGTCGTCGACGACTACGACGCAGCGACGACGACGACGTTGACGACGAGGACGACGACGACAACGACGTCGACGACGACGAAGACGACGACGACGGTGTCGCCGCCGCGGGCACCCCGCGCGCCGAGGCGGGAGCGCCCGGGGCGCCTCCGCGGGGGACCGCCGCGGAGCCCCTTCGGGAACCCCTCCTCGCCCTCCTCCTCCTCCTCCTCCTCCTCCTCCTCCTCCTCGCGTGCCCCTCCTCGCCAACCTCCTCGCTCGGCCTCCTCGCCCTCCTCCCGGCGCTCCGTTTCCGCTCTCCCCTATCTCGGCTTTCTTCTCCTCGCCCTCCTCCACCTCCCTCGCACCTCCCTCGGGGCCCCGGGCATGTTGAATATGACGAACCAACAGCACACACCCATGCCCACAGGGGGATCGGAGAGGGCTATGGGTGCGTGTTGTCGGATGGGGGTCCCCGCTCGAACGGGAGCGCTCCCCAGGGTCCGACAACCCGCACCCACACCCATAGCCGGTCCTCGTCCCAACGACCTCCCTATGGGTATGGGTGTGTGTTGTTCGTTCGTCAGAATAAAAGTGGAGGTTGTATCGATCTAGGCCTCCTAGATGGGGTCCGAGCAGATGGGGTCGGAGGTTCGCGCCGCATCGCCGGTGCATCCGCGATGCGACTCGATGCGGAGCTCGATCTCCTTCAAACCCACGTCGCCAATGCATCGCCGACGTCGCCAGTGCATCGCCGACGCATCGCCGATACATCGGCGATGCATTGGCGATGCGGCGCGATCCTTGGACCCCTATCTACTCGAACCCCATCCAGGAGGCCTCTAATCGAGCGGGGGCGTCATTGTTGCAGGGGGGGCCGTCTGCTGCGCCGAGGCGGGGGCGCTAGTTTTGAGTGAAGAGCAGGGGAGTGCCGAGCGGGAGCGCTGGTGTGTTGTTGGAAAGCCGGCTCTCGGCGGCGAGCAAGGGCACCAGTTCCAGGTCAGAAGCAGGGGGGAAGTATCGAGCCGGAGCGGTGTTGTTGTTGGGGGGCTTGCTTCGGCGTAGCCCAGAAACGCTCGAGCGTGAGCTAAATCTCAAAGAAACTGCTGCCTGCGCCGAGGCGCGGGCGCCAGGGTGGATGTAGGGTGTCCAACACTATCAGTTTTTCAATAATGAAGGTTCAACAGGGATTACTCCAGATCTCGTAATACAAGGGAGGGGGTCTGGACCCTCCAAGACAAGCCATTTCAGACCCCCCCCCCCAGTGGGAGAACCCTCCAAAACATCGTCCCCAGACCCCCCCAGGCCCTCCAAGATAGCCTGGAAGAGACCCCCCCCCCGAAATGAGACCCCCCTCCCTTTATTACGAAATCTGGAGTAAGGAAGCCTCGTTGCTTGTAGGAATCTTGAGTGAAAGCAGGGAAATTATCGAGCGGGAACGGCGTTGTTTGCAAGGGGGGTCGCTTGCGGGGGCCGAGGCGGGGGCGCCGGCCCGGGAGTAAAAAGCAGGGAGGTATCGAGCGGGTGCGCCAGGTTTGTTGGAAAGCCGGCCTTCGGCGGCGAGCAATTGAGCCCTGGCCTCGAGTAGTTCGGGGGCGGCAAAGAGGGGGGTGATGACTAGGGGGGGTGGATATCATGGCGGGGGCCATGATATTTCCCCAGATCTCATGGCGCCTCTTCTTATTTTATTACGTCCCTAGTCCCCCCGCTGGGCCGCGCACATGCCGCCGGTCATGATTTGTACCCCCCCCTCTTGGACACCCCCCTCTTGGCCGCTCCCGAGTAGTACAAGGGGAGGAAATATCGGACGCTGCAGCGGTCCCTCGAACCGCCTGCGCGTGAGCTCCATGTTCAACGGGAGCGCAGCCATCGCCGAGGCGAGAGCGCCAGGGCACACAGCTCCCGCCTGACATTTCCTCACAACTTATTCCACCATCGCGCCCTCGCGCGGGACTTCCTCACACTTTGTACAGGAATCGCGCTCTCGCGTTGGACCTCTCCGCAATTTCTTCAAGCGCCGCGCCCTGGACGCTTAGGCATCGCGCTCTCTCTCTAGTTTTTCTCGCGATGTGTTTGGAAATCGCGCTGTCGCTCGAGACGTCTTCGCGATTCCTGCAAGATTCATGCTTCAGCAGCCCGCCTGTTCGACCTGACCGCCTCGGACCGCCGCCAGGCCCGCCCGTTGGGGTCCACCCGCCCGATCAGCCCGTCTCTGGTTCTGGCACGTGTATGCTGCTCCTCGCCCTCCTCCTCCTCCTCCTTTCTTCCTCCTCCTCCTTTCTTCCTCCTCCTTTATTCCTCCTCCTCCTCCTCCTCCTCCTCCTCGCTCCCCCTTCTGCTGAGGTTAATCTCTCCGGTGCTCTCTCTTTCTTCTCCCTCCCGCCATCCGTCCTCTCCTCCCTGGTGCCTGGGGGTTGCCCTGCGAATATCGAGTGCTTGGGATACACGTGTTGGATGACACGCGGGCAGGTCCGGTACACCTCGCTCATTTGTATACTCCTGTGTAGGTACATGTGCGGCCGCTTTTGCGCTAGCGTGTGCGCGGCATGTGCGCGGCGTGTGCGCGGCACGTGCCCGGCACGTGCCCGGCATGTGCGGGCCTTCTGGGTCGGATGTCCTATTGTGCATGCGCGCGCGGGCATGTGCAGGGTCATGTGCGCTGAGTTTGGTGCATCGCTTGTTTCTACATCCTCGCACATGGCTGCGCACATGCCCGCACATGCTTTCACATGCGGAAGGTGTCTCATTTTCGCAAATGAGATCATACATTTGAGTATGATGACGACGATGGCGATGAAGATGGCGATGACGCTGGCGATGGCGAAGCTGTTTATGGAGCATGACATACCCACGACGATGATGATGATGATGATGATGATGATGATGATGATGATGATGATGATGATGATGATGATGATGATGATTCTGATGATGATGATGACGATGATGATGATGGTGATGCTGATGCTGATGATGATGATGATGATGATGATGATGCTGATGCTGATGATGATGATGTGGTTGATGATGATGGCGATGGTGATGGTGACAATGATGGTGATGAGAATGGGGCTATGAGGGGAGGAGGAGAAGGAAGACGAGGAGGAGGAGGATGGACAGTAGGAGGAAGAAGCGGAGAAGGAGGAGAAGAAGAGGACAGTTGTGATCCATCGGCTTCTGGCCCGAGGGGCAGCGGCGAGTGGTTGGGGCGGATGCAGTCGGAGAGCGGCGCCAAGATCCAGGTGAACCCGAACGAGCTCAAGGCACCAGGGCTCCACCTCCCCCTCCTGATGAGCGAGGAGGGAGGAGGAAGGAGCGAAGGGGGAGAAGCGCAGGATGAGGGTGTGTGTGTGTGTGTGTGTGTGTGTAAGAGGAGGGAGTAGAAAGGACGGCCTCCTCCTCATCCCCTTCCACTCCCTCCTCATCCTCGACTTCCTCCACCTCCCCCTCCGCCTCCGCCTCCTCCTCCTCCTTCTCCTCCTCCTCCTCCTCCTCCTCCTCCTCCTCCTCACCACCACCACCATCATTACCATCACCATCACATCGCAGAGAACTCGAGCGGGGCCAGCCGGGGCTGCGGTCCGAGAGGTGTACATCGACGGGCCGCCGGCCAAGCTGCAAGCTGGGAAGCAGCAGGTGCCCCCCCTTTGGGGGGGCGGCTCTTGCCGCCGCGGGGCAGGTTCCCCCCAACGCCTTCCCGCCGGGTATTCGGAGGAGGAGCAGGAGGAGGAGGAGGAGGAGGAGGGAGGAGGAGGAGGAGGAGGAGGAGGAGGAGGAGGAGGGAGGAGGAGGAGGAGGAGGAGGAGGAGGAGGAGGAGGAGGAGGAGGAGGAGGAAGAGGAGGTCGGGGGCGAAACACATACTATTCGTATCCGCGGCCTCGCGGGCTGGGCCACGGGAGCGCGACCCGGCGGATGCCGCTCGTACCCAAGAGTCCTCGTCGCCACGGCTGGATCGGCCCCGAGATCCGAGTCAGAGCGCACCCGTGAGGAGGTCCAGGGAGTAGCGGTACAGTCGAGACGCTAGGACAGGGGCCTTTGTGGATTCGGGAGGGGCTCCCGTTTTCGAGCCGCTCCTTGGACCCAGGCGCCGGAGCCTCTTCGTGGCTGAGGCTCGCCGTGGCCAGAAAACCCCTCTGTTCCTTCTCCTCCTCCTCCTCCTCCTCCTGTTCCTCATGCAGCGTTCCCGAAGGCAGCACGACGGGCGTATCGGTATCCTGCTTTTCCCCCAGAGCGGTGGGGCGCTGACCAGGCTGCAGTCCAGGGAGCAGCGCGTTTGGGGGGAAGGGCCGTGATGGCGCCAGAAGCTTCTCTCCGCCGTCCCCTGCCCCCACTTGGGGCCCCATGCTCGAGGTTGGGGGCGTGCTTGGTACAGGCTGGGGAGCTGCTGGCTGGAAGCCTGCAGCTGTACACCTCACCGGTTCGAAGCAGAGACCCATCCCCATGCTGGGCATCGCTTTACCTCGGTGACGATCTTGAGGATGCCCTCAGTTTCTGAGGGCACATCCCTAAAATTGTTATCGCCTTGGGTTTGGTGGTCTGAAGGATATGGATGAGTTCGAGGCTGGTTTTTTCAGCTTGGACCTTGAGCTGATGACCAGCAGAGGAGAGGGGCCGTTCAAGACAGTGGCGCCTCCCCCGAGAGAGGTGCGTGGACGCAGAGATGGAGGGAGAACGAGCAGGGAGAAGGAAGGAGGGAGTAGGTGAGGGAACCGGAAGGAGGAGGAGGAGGAGGAGGGGGAGGAGGAGGAGGAGGAGGAGGAGGAGGAGGATGTCAGGCGGCCCCGAGGTCAATTTTCTGGGAACCCTACGCCTGCTTGCAGGTGAGGGATCCCGTCATTGGCCCTGGGGGCGCCTGTGGGGGGTCCTATGAGCGGAGGGAGCGGCCCTCATGCATGCCACCCCAGCGTGTGCTGACCAGGGCCGCCGCCGCCACACCGCGAACGGCGCGTGTGGCCTACAGCACATCCATCGCTCGCCAACTGTTTCGCCTTCAGCTCCTCCTGCCCCGTTTCAGCCCCGTTTGCCACCGCGGCGCTCGACCTTACATGCCCCTAGTTGCCGTCCAACGGTTCCTTCATCCCTCACTCAGCATCTCTGCGCGCATATGCTCGCCACGCACAGCCTGCATCATCCAAGGGTGTTTGCGTGTGTGTGTGTGTGTTATCTCGGCGGGGGGCGGGAACCCAGGCGGAGGGACGCGATCCCTAGGGCCAAGACGGCCGTTGCACAGCATACCCGCTGCTTCAGATGAAGGCCAACGCCGCCCTTCACCCTGCGTTCTCTTCTCCCACACCCACGCTGCTGCCGTTACGAGTGTAACCCCCCTCTCTCCCCTCCCCTTCGAGGCCATGATTAGTATTCCTTTTCCCTCGTCTCGTCGGTTTGCCTTGTCTTACATGTACGCTAATTTTTCTTATCTCAGTCACAGCCGAAACCCATGTGACCTGGCTGTTTAGTTTGATCACCCCGCCAGGGCCGACCGGCCCTGGGAGAGGGAGGGCTGCGATCGCGAATCTCTCCAGCCACCAGGATTCAGGAGTCAGGAGGAGGAAGAGGAGGAGGAGGATGAGGAGGAGGAAGTGGAGGAGGAGGAGGAAGAAGAGGAGAAGGAGGAGGAGGGGGAGGAGGAGGAGGAGGGGAGCATCATCAGAAGGAGGAGGAGGGGAGGAGGAGGAAGGAGGAGGAGGAGGAGGAGGAGGGGAGAGGAGGAGGGGGAGGAGGAGATCCTCCTCCTGCTTCTGCTCCGCCTCCGCCCTTCTCTCCGCCTGCCGGGTCCAGGACGCATTTGCGTGCTCTCGCCACGGCCAGCGGGCTGATCTGTTCCACATGGCAGACATCCGATGTCGGGATCTGTTCTTTGCCCCATCCCCAGGAGTCTCGACCCTTTCCCTTGGGCTGGCTTTTCCTCCCGAGTCGTTGTTGACGGTCCCGGGGCCCGGCGAGGGCCCCGGAGAGCTGACAAGGGCAAACAACTTGTCCGCCGCCATTTTTTACGTCTGGGCCCCCACCCCCGCATTGGGCATAACCTCTCGTCGTCCCCTCGCGTCCTCGAGGGCAGCAGCTGAGGCTGCACGCTGTTGCCATCGCTCGCGTGGCTGCTCCCCTGCCTTGAGTCGGTGGCACAGAGCCTCCCCGGACTTACTCGGGCCAGCAGGGCTTGTGGTGCACCATCACCGACCACCACTAGGCGCATACCATGGACCCAGCCAGTGCGGGAAACCCAGACGTGCTCGCCTCGTGGCGGAGGAGGAGGAGGACGCCATTTTTTGGGCTGCTTCCGATTCGGGATGAAAGAGCTGGTTCCAGGAAGAGCTCCAGACCTCTGGCAGCCACGCTGCGAACAAAATCACGACGCCAGATGTCTCAGAGTAGGCACATCAAGCAGGAAGCCGGCTTGTCACCGGGCGCGTCAGAGAAACTATTTACGCCCTGATGGCCCTTGGGGGCACCGTGGCGACATCCCGGGTCGCCTTGGTAAGTACACAATCGGCGACGAACGTGCCCCTCGATCTCACATAGCCAGGCTTTTGGTTACCATGTGTCGAGCGAAGCCAGTGGTCTTGTTTCACTGTGCCCTCGAGCCAGTGTCATGAGTTCTCCCGTTCTAAAATAGTGTTGGACAGCCCAAACTCAGCATTTTCGAGCTATGATGGCGAGCTGGTTCGATTCCTTCCGCCAGAGATTGGCTGTTTTGACAAGGTGCGCTTTACCTGCGGAATCAGGACGCTGGCCTCTGGCCCTCTTCTTGCAACCAAGCCAATATGGATCCGCACTTCATGGCATGCGGCTGCTCCCGCCTTGGGCTGTTGGGCCAGAGATGCGCCCTGAGCTTCATCCTCCGACTAGCCAGCTGGCATCACTTTTCCGCTAGAGTCTCATGCAGACTAGTGTCACCCTCCCCTGTCTCCGACACGACGATGACAGCGTCCAGCGACGTGAAGTAAACCACGATGTCGTGAACCCAAGGCTCTTCTCGAGCTCTCGACCTCATATTCTGCTTGACCTCTCGATCCCTGTCCTGGTAGGTCCTGGGGCCCGAGCGGAGGCCGAACGGCCGTTGAAATCGCCCACGATTCCCAGATGAGCGACGCAGAAAGACGGGTTCCACTGCGCGGACATTCGCGCGTAAGCTGCCCACGTAAGGTCAGGAGGGGAAGAAACACACAGACACAATTAATCGTCGATCCCCGGGAAAATATGGGAACATATGGGAAGTGGTGGGGAAGACGAAAACCCAGAAACTATGGGAAAATATGGGGAATCTTTTTATTTGTGTGTCTTTATTTGTGTGTCCCAGTTTCCCTTCAGTGAGGTCGCGCGTAAAGGCCCTCGTTTGAAATCGCAGCGTAGCGGGCCGCGCTGGCGCCCCGCGGTGAGCCGCCGCGTGAGGCCGCGACGTCTTCTCGCACGCGGCCCGTGCCTCGTCGTCGCTCAGACGTCATGGCCCTGGCCTGGGCGACGGAGTGATCTCGCGTGGCCGCGGGCCTCTATAGCGCTTGGCTCCCGACGACGGCCCTGCACCGTGTGCGTCGAGCAAACCCCTGAGATCCGACGCAGCGAGACAAACAATGACGACATCGGGAAACAAACAACGCGACCAGAGCCCTGGACCCCACCTTCCGGCGCCACTTTTCGAGCCCGGTCGCTCTGCGAGGGCCCCGGCGCCCGACGCCGGGCGAGAGAACGCCCGGGGCTCGAGGCAATTGAGGCGCCAGGATCTCCGGGGGAGTGTGCGTCGAGCTGCAGTCGGGGCCCTGAAGAAGGAACCCTTTTCGTTGGGGAGGGGCTCCGCGTTCCTCAAGTGTTTCACAGCTTGCCTCAGGTTTTCCTTATGTTTTCGATCGCACATCGAAGTTTAACTTATGGAAAAAGGGGCCTCGTTCCTTACTCAGGGTTCCTTAGGTCAACGCCCCGACTGTTTGTGTACCTTACGGCCTCCGCGTCTTCTGAGCGCGAGTCCGGTCGCGCGCGCCCTGCAAGCCTGCCGCTGCTGCCCGCGGCAGGTGCTCAAAGGGCTGGACCAGCTCCGCGCCAAGCAGGCCGCCGAGGACGCCGCCGGCGGCCGCGCGGCCACGAAGGCGAAGGACCCTCCTCCGCCCTCCCGCCAGTGCCTCTCTCCTCCCCTGTCCCTCGTGATTCCTCGTCCCTCGAGGCACCTCCGTCCTTGCTCCCTCGCTCCCTCCAACGTTGCTCCGCCCCCTCCCCGCGCCCTGCCTCTTCTCTCATCGCTCCTGCCCCTCTACGGCGAGACCAGACACTACGGTACTCACACATGCATGTGTTTGGGTCCTTCGCCCGGATAATTTTACAACCGAGCAATACATTGCATTTTCAGGCCGACGACCCCCGCGCCGATCAAGTTGCACTTTTGCGCAGTTCGCCTTCGCATGTTTGGGGGTGGTTTATTTGGCTAGCCAATGGCCTGGTAGCTACGATGCTGCACTAACAAAGGGCTTCGATTGGGAATGTTTTCCCAACCATCCTGTGGTGTTGGGTCCTCGTTTTGAAGAAACAGTCCCCGCGTTCCCTCCCTCCTTGCCTGCCTCCTTCCTCCCTCCTCCCCTCCCTGCCTCTGCTCTCTCGCATGCCCATGTCGGCGCATTCCTCGGCCACATAGGGTGCTCCGCCGAAGGTCCCAGTGGCAGGGTACGCATGCAGTTCCACCTTCATTTCGGCGCACCCCTCACACGTTTCGTGGCCCCATAGGGTGCTCCACCCAAGGCCCCAGTGGCAGGGTCCGCATGCAGTTCCACCACTATTTCAGCGCACCTCTCGCACGTTTCGTGGCCCCATAGGGTGCTCGGCCGAAGGCCCCAGTGGCAGGCGTCCGCATGCAGTTCCACCTCCATCTCGGCGCACCTCTCGCACGTTTCGTGGCCTCGTAGGGTGCTCCGCCGAAGGCCCCAGTGGCAGGGTCCGCATGTAGTTCCGCGCCCATTTCGGCGCACCCCTCGCACGTTTCGTGGCCCCATAGGGTGCTCCGCCGAAGCCCCCAGTGGCGGGGTCCGCATGCAGTTCAGCCCGCATTTCGGCGCACCCCTCGCACGTTTCGTGGCCCCATAGGGTGCTCCACCCACGGCCCCAGTGTCAGGGCCCGCATGCAGTTCCACCTCCATCTCGGCGTATCCCTCGCACGTTTCGTGGCCCCATAGGGTGCTCTGCCGAAGGCCCCAGTGGCAGGGTCCGCATGCAGTTCCACCCCCCATTTCGGCTCACTCCTCGCTCGTTCCGCGGCCCCATAGAGTGTTCCACCCAGGGCCCCAGTAGCAGTTTCCGTATGCAGTTCCACCCTTCATTTCGGCGCACCCCTTCCACGTTTCGTGGCCCAAAATTCCCTAGTGGCAGCGCCCGCACATGGTTCCACCTTGCATTTCGGCGTGCCCCTCACACGTTTCGCGGCTTCACATGAGGCTGCACCGACGGCCCCCGTGGCAACGTCCGCATGGCGTACCCGTGCCAATATCTGCACACCCGTCACACGCGTCGTGGCCCCAGAGAGAGGTTCACCGAGGACGATACCCACAACTGCGTTACACACAGCTGCACATGGTTGGGCCCTTCGCCAGACTATGTTTCGCGTCAGCTGATTCCACTTGAATCGGTTTGACTTTCGAGGGGCTACCAGGCCACGATGCAGATCATTTATATGGAATATCATTCAAAATTCCACTGGTGAGTGATCTTGCATGTGAGCAGGTTTCACGCCAACCGCATTAACTCTTATTGCCTGCGCACTGAGTCTCACTTGAACGCACCAAGTCCCAGATCCACATCATTGTAGTCGTAGTCGTAGTCGTAGTCGCAGTCGTAGTCGTAGTGGTAGTAGTAGTAGTGGTAGTAGTAGTAGTAGTAGTAGTAGTAGTAGTAGTAGTAGTAGTAGTAGTAGTAGTAGTAGTAGTAGTAGTAGTAGTAGTAGTAGTAGTAGCAGTTCCCCACATGCTTCGTGGGGTTCTGGTTTTCTTCCCTGCCGCGTCGCACCCGCGTCTCACCTCACACCTCCCCTCCTCCTCACAGCACTGCTCAGCACAGCTCAGCACAGCTCAGCTGAGTTCAGCTCAGCTCAGCACGGCACAGCTTAGCACAGCTCAGCTCAGCTCAGCTCAGCTCAGCACAGCACCCCACATTCTTAATTCCCCACATTCCAAGTGGGGTTCTGATTTTCTCTACACCCGCGTCGCACCCGCGTTCACTCACCTCCCCTTCTCTACACCCGCGTCACACCTGCGTTCCCACCTCACCTCCTCCTTCTCGCTCGTACACACACCACACCACACCACGCCACATCGCACCACACCACACCACACCACGCCACGCCACACACCACACCACACCACACCACACCACACCACACCACACCACACCACACCACACCACACCACACCACACCACACCACACCACACCACACCACACCACACCACACCACACCACACTACACAACACCATCCGTGTGTGGCACTTTCTCGTCACTACAGGACGTGTGCAGGGAGTGGTCCCTCACCGCGGTCTCTATCCGCCCCACGGTCGCAGGGCGTGGTAGGCGTGGCACTTTCTCGACACCATAGGGGGTGCGCAGGGGGTGGTCTCTCACCGCGGCCGCTATCCGTGCCGGTCGTCCAGGGCACAGCAGGCATGGCATATCCTCGACACCATAGGGGGTGCGCAGGGGGTGGTCTCTCACCGCGGCCGCTATCCGTGCCGGTCGTCCAGGGCACAGCAGGCATGGCATATTCTCGACACCATAGGGGGTGCGCAGGGGGTGGTCTCTCACCGCGGCCGCTATCCGTGACGGTCGTCCAGGGCACAGCATGCATGGCATATTCTCGACACCATACGGGGGTGCGCAGGGGGTGGTCTCTCACCGCGGCCGCTATCCGTGCTCATCCAGGGGACACAGCAGCATGGCATATTTCTCGACACCATAGGGGGGTGCGCAGGGGGTGGTCTCTCACCGCGGCCGCTATCCGTGCCGGTCGTCCAGGGCACAGCAGGCATGGCATATTCTCGACACCAGAGGGGGTGCGCAGGGGGGGGTCTCTCACCGCGGCCGCTATCCGTGCCGGTCGTCCAGGGCACAGCAGGCATGGCATATTCTCGACACCATAGGGGGTGCGCAGGGGGTGGTCTCTCACCGCGGGCCGCTATTCCGTGCGGTCGTCCAGGGCACAGCTCGGCATGGCATATTCTCGACAACCAGAGGGGGTGCGCAGGGGTGTGGTCTCTCAGCGCGGCCGCTATCCGGTGCGGTCGTCAGGCACGCAGGCATGGCATATTCTCGACACCATAGGGGGTGCGCAGGGGTGGTCTCTCACCCGCGGCCGTATGCCGTGCGGTCGTCCAGGGCCAGCAGCCATTGGCATATTCTCGGACACCAGGGGGGGTGGCGCAGGGGGTGGTCTCTCACCCGCGGCAGCTATCCGTGCCCGTCGTCGTCCAGGGCAAGCAGGCCAGGGATTATCTCGACACCAGAGGGGCGGTGCGCAGGGGGTGGTCTCTCACCGCGGCCGCTATCCGTGCCGGTCGTCCAGGGCACAGCAGGCATGGCATATTCTCGACACCATAGGGGGTGCGCAGGGGGTGGTCTCTCACCGCGGCCGCTATCCGTGCCGGTCGTCCAGGGCACAGCAGCTCTTATTTGTTATGTTTGGTTTGCTTTTCTTCTTCTTATTCCCCACATGTTTCGTGGGGTTATGGTTTTCTTCCCTGCCGCGGCGCACCCGCGTCTCCTCCTCCCCTCTCTCTCCTTCTTACACAGCGCAGCACAGCACAGCGCAGCACAGCACAGCACAGCACAGCACAGCACAGCACAGCACAGCACAGCACAGCACAGCTATCCGTGACGGTCGTCCAGGGCACAGCAGGCATGGCATATTCTCGACGAAGTAAGGGGTGCGCAAGGGGTGGTCTCTTACCGCGGCCGCTATCTGTGACGGTCGTCCAGGGCACAGCAGGCATGGCATATTCTCGACACCATAGGGGGTGCGCAGGGGGTGGTCTCTCACCGCGGCCGCTATCCGTGACGGTCGTCCAGGGCATAGCAGGCAGGGCATATTCTCGACACCAGAGGGGGTGCGCAGGGGGTGGTCTCTCACCGCGGCCGCTATCCGTGACGGTCGTCCAGGGCACAGCAGGCATGGCATATTCTCGACAGCGTAGGGGGTGCGCAGGGGGTGGTCTATCACTGGGGCCGCTATCCGTGACGGTCGCCCAGGGCACAGCAGGCATGGCATATTCTCGACACCATAGGGGTGGCGCAGGGGATGGTCCTCTATCGCACCGCGGCCGCTATCCGTGACGGTCGTCCAGGGCACAGCAGGCATGGCATATTCTCGACACCGTAGGTGGTGCGCAAGGGTGGTCTCTTACCGCGGCCGCTATCCGTGACGGTCGTCCAGGGCACAGCAGGCATGGCATATTCTCGACACCATAGGGGGTGCGCAAGTGGTGGTCTCTCACCGCGGCCGCTATCCGTGACAGTCGTCCAGGGCACAGCAGGCATGGCATATTCCCGACACCATAGGGGGTGCGCAGGGGTTGGTCTCTCACCGCTGCCACTATCCGTGACGGTCGTGCAGGGCACAGCAGGCATGGCAGATTCTAGGCACCACAGGGGGTGCGCAGGGGGTGGCCTCTCACCGCGGCCGCTATCCGTGACGGTCGTCCAGGGCACAGCAGGCATGGCATATTCTCGACACCATAGGGGGTGCGCAGGGGGTGGTCACATCACCGGCGAGGCCAGCTAATCCGTGACGGGTTTGAAGGGCACGGTCTTTAGGCATGGCATATTCTCGACAGCGTAGGGGGTGCGCAAGGGGTGGTCTCTTACCGCAGCCGCTGTCCGTTACGGTCGTCCAGGGCACAGCAGGCATGGCATACTCTAGACACCATAGGGGGTGCGCAGGGGGCGGTCTCCCACCGCGGCCGCTATCCGTGACGGTCTTCCAGGGCACAGCAGGCACGGCATATTCTCGACAGCGTAGGGGGTGCGCAAAGGGTGGTCTCTTACCGCAGCCGCTGTCCGTGACGGTCGCCCAGGGCACAGCAGGCATGGCAGGCATATTCTCGACACCGTAGGGGGTGCGCAAGGG